ACATCTCCAGTCCAACACAGCAATAAACACCAAACCCGTACATCCCCAATACGCATTGTGTTGCAAATTAACACGCACAATTATTTAATTACACATAAAGAGTAAATATTTGGCAAAATTTTTATCAGCATAATATTTGATGATGGCAAGAACTATTATGTGTATAAAGTATAACAACAGTTAAATAAGAATGATTGCTAATATTTATCGTCATATTTATCTATGTATTAATAGACAAGCATGTTTCTTTAAAACTTTTTTTCTCAGATCGTGCATCGTAAGGAAACTATACGAATACTGTTTGAAAGATATTTTCCTGTATGTGTGCAGAATCCCTTTATAAATTAAAAAGGCAAAAAATAAGCGCGAAAAATGAATTTAAAATTTAAAAAAATGTGCATAGGCCTTTTGGATTGCTATGCTGGTAACGAAATAACAACAAAATATGAACACAAAATCTAAAAAAAATTGAATAAATTCCAATCACGTGTTTTATTTCCAGCATTGGGTAAAAAATAGAGAAGTCTGCAAATTAGGCCCACATATTTTTGGTCGAGTTTTCGACCACTGGACGACCTCTAGTATTTATTATACTGTAATTCCTTAATTATATATTAAAAGAATATTATAGTAATTTACAATATACCAAAATATTATACGAAACTATATTTGAGCATACAGTACTGTTTCGTAATGTTATATCAAAACTACATCGGTTTCTCCTATTTAATGACAGTGATTGTGGAGAGAGGCATTGCAACTTAGTTTCTCGTAGTGTCTCTAGTAAAAGAGGAACTTACTTGTTTGATTACAATACCACCACATTGTCGCTGTTTGTAATACTTTTAACAGTAACTACATACCAAGTGTCATGATTTTATTAGTAATAGCTGCAACCGAATAACTTTTAGTATTTCTGTAACCATTGCATAGATAACATGAGTATTCTTTTCAAGTTCTTAGAATGGAATTCCTTAAGGGTGAATTTAAAATGATTACAATTGTTAAATAACACTCGCATTAGTTTCCTGGGCAAGGTGTTATTTTAAATAAAAACGTATAAAATAGAAACAGATACATATTTTTAGAAAAACTATGTTTATTCAAAAACAAACAAAGAGGTATTTAAATGACATGAGGTTTGTGTAAGAAATGTAGAGAACAAAGCATCAGAGGATTAAAAACCTAATTGTATCAACTTATACCAAAATGCGCGAGTAGTTATGGGTGGGATGGGGGATGCTTAGCACACCTGGCCGTCGACGACGATGGTGACAAGCGATGCTAATTATAACTCTAATTACTTCCAAATTAGAGTGGGGTGACTTCGAAACTCAGCTGATTAACATCTATATTAACTTTGAAATGTATGACTTCCACGGCAGGTCACTCTCGTAAATTTTAAATTGCATGAGTAAAACATTAATACTGTAATGAGACTTCTTTGTAACCCTAATAAACACAGTAGTAGAGCTATGCATTTGTAATGCAATATACATTTCAGTTACTACTTTAGATTACTTTGAGTAAAGAACTTACTTTCATATTGTATATTTAAAAAAAGATTAAGCTTTAAATATTAATTGAATGAAACGGATGGAAATTTAATACAACGAAGAGGATAAGACGCAATTTAATCCGATTCAATGTGATAAAATAGAACTGTTTTAAAGCACTAAATAGAGGAAGCTGTGAAAAATGTTCTAACATTTTATTACAATTTAATTATATACAGTATACATAACAGTATATTATTATGTATACAGAGTACTTTGGTGCATATGTAATAGGTTCAAATAAGAATTGATAATAGCGTAACTACAATTTCTTTACATTTGTATAATTATAGTATATACAACAATAATTAACCTTTAAATTCCAAGAGATCGAGGAGGTGACTTTTAATTTAAAACGTAAATAAATCCGATCCTATAAGCAGGCTTTGTATTGGACCCAGATGTTAATTGGCATTGTGCTAGTAATTAATGATACTTTCTAGCATAAGGTTGAGTGGTTCAATTCCGTAGAGTGGAACCAACCATTTTTAGACAGTTTTCTGATAAAAATTTTAAATTACAATTACGTAGTCAATCAAATCAAAAGTAAAGGGTACATGGTTATTCCTGCTAATCATCAGTATTGTAAGTCATGAAACATTGTTGACAGTAATACTGTACAGGCTTTAGGAAATTACTAATTCAAATCTCACTCCATTCTCCAGATAGCATTTGGGGCTCATAATATTAGATGAAGTTTGAAAGAAACTTAGAATTGCTCTTTAAATTGGGGAGTAAATGAAAGATTCATAAAAGTTCTTGATCTCAGAGTATTTGAACAGGTAATTTCAAAAGTTTCAATGAAAAAGAATTTCTTCTTAAGAAGTAGTATGAAACTCGCTTATTAAAGTACTTAGCTTTGGTTATATTTTTCAATTAGCTTTTAAAAGCAGTAATACTTATATTTAATTACATTCATAAAATAATAGTTTAACCCCTAAAAAAATGTGTTTAAGAGCATTTAACAACTACAGTAAATAATGATTGTACGGTTCATAGAGAAAAGGGTAGCTAATAATTCATTCATACTTTGTCTTTCGTAAATTAATGTAGTTATCGTTAAATATAATACCATCTTGTAGAGGGTTTCCTAACAAAATTTGCATACAAACTTTACATTGGTAAGAGTGCAGTGAAATCCCTCAAGTTGGTATGCTGTTTGGAAATTAAGGCGCCTAAAAGTAATTGATGTCAATAATTTAGAGTTTAGAGCGTTCCGTAACATAAAAGTGAGAAACTTCAATGGCTTGGATGAATACAAAATAAGAAATTAAGAATATTATTGCATAAGAGAGTTTTAGACCTAGAAAACTCGCAGTGAGCTTTCACATGATACATGCTGTCTTATATCAAATTATCCTTCCCTTAAGCAATTGGAATCCTCCACCAAGCATTTAATACTTATCCTTTACAGTTATAAACATATTCTACAATTAAAAACGTGTATCTACTGTGTAGCACGCTTTGCTCAATTAGTTATTAAGCTAAGTTCAGTAAATTACCAACATGACCGTCGATTCTTTATAGGTAATACTCCTACTACTTAATAGGTAATACCCTCTACGAAAATCTATTTTACAACGTAACTATTTATCAACTAAAAACAATATTACATAATTGACTATTGTATCGATAGGCAAAGATAACATAAAACATATTGAATACTTGGTGCAACGTTTTTGCCAAACATCATTCGATTTACTCTATTAAGTCCCAAATGAGTACTTATGGTATGTCTAGACTCTTCTTCATCCATTGGCAGGTGGAGATAAGCATTACTAATGTGTAATGTGCAGAATTATCAACATTTATTCGTGTTAGAGAAGACATCTTCAATTCGTGGGATTGGGTATTTGTCAGTAAGTATGCAATATGGTAAGAAATGCATAGTTCTACATATTTATTAGTCTATGGTTATTTGTGCATTCACCGAAATGGAAAAATTCCACAGAGTTATTTATAGAAGTTCGATAATCCAGCAGAACGGAAATGGCATTCAAATAAAGCTTTCTTGTACTTGTATGGTTTTATTATCAACTTTCATTCCGTTATAAATATTTATATTGTTTCAGTTGCATTGAACTAGTGGAGTTGAGTTATTGGCCTTTCCAACCATGAAAACAAGCAATTAATAAAATACTCAAAAGTAACACCTAAAAAACCCTTTTTCGGTATTTTATTCAAAACCAATCGTCAAAATGCAACAGAGCAAAAATTACTGAACAAGCTATTTTGGTCGTAAATCTATAGTTAGTTTTAATAAAAACCATGGCTAAATTTTTCTTGCGACCAATAAGCATTTGTTAAGGCCAGTGTAATTTTTTATTCCGATAGAAGTGCATTGTTGTTTTTATATTAATATTATGCGTCTTGAACTGCAGCTATAGAAAACATATTTATTTCACGTAGTTAAGTCAATCGAAGAAAGCCAGATTTAACCACAACATTCAAGTCAGCCCCTTCAAAATATAATAAAAGGCAAAACATAGGTTTACAAATCTGTTATTATAAAAGAACGTAGTCAAATAGTTACTCATATAGAGTGCTACTGCACAGAACTTGATTATTCCCCTTGGATTTTGTTGCTAAAATAATTATGTAGAGTACAAGATGTTTGAACATGCAGTAAGCTGCTCTTCAGTTTGGCTTAGGTAAAAGGTTACCGTTTCCAACAGAAGTTAGGAATTTAAATTAACATTTGTTGGTGGCGCTGAATTTCGCCATGTTTATATTGATTCTAGAACTAACAACATCTTCAACATAGGATTGGAATGCCTACTTTTAGTCATAGTCGAAGCACACAACACAGGCATTAATAAATTAATTAGCTACAAATATGTGGATGAATTCAGCCTCCATCTGAAAACAAAGAGAAACCAAGGTGAAGGATTTTCTTCAAATCACCAAGCCATCCACCATATTGTCAGGTTCGTCTGTTTCTGTAGCCTATGAAAAATGTTAAGCATAAGCAGAATTTAATTCACTCGAAACACTGATAACTAGCTATATAATAAATTTCCCTCGCACTAAACATAATTTCTTAATAAAAAAGAGTAGAAAATAATACGTTTGTAAGATTTCTGATGTGCTTCAAACTAATAATATAGCGAAACGCATTCGAAATCTAACTGAATTTAAGATATAAGTACAAATTAATAAGAAATAATTGAGATATTTTACTAAACCTTATATTGTAAACAGGTTTTCAATATAATGGTATGGGGTCTCCTAACCTTGGACTATGACTTGCTAATTGAAAAAATAAAGCATCAGGACACTTTTGGAAATACGAAATATTTTACAATAATTTGTGTAAAGCAGTTTTTAAAGCTCTGAATTATAAAACTAACTTAGTTTGGTTAAGTGATTATATTTATCGATAGTATTGGCATTTTCATGGTATTTTCTATTATTTATTGAGCTGTTTTCAGGTTATTGACTGACCTGCGTCCTTGTGCAGCTCGAAGGCGGCCAGAGGTCCGGTGGTGGAGGAACACTCGGAGTTGCGATGTATCAGCGTGATGTTCCAGCCAGGCAGCATGCCAGTGACGGGGTCTGTGACGGCCTTGACAGCCAGCATGACCGGCGGCAGGATCTGCTGCAGGGTCTGCTCGTTGGCGGCCGTGTCGTTGGGGGCGATGGCTGTCATCAGTGCCCGAGGAGCCGTCCCCGCCCCCGCGTCAACGCCCGTCCCGACCAATAATAACACGAATACACCTAACGCGACTTCGCGGGGTCGGGTACTCGCACCCTTGCCGAACCGAATAAAAAATACGACGAGTAACAAGCGAATCATACTTTGTACAACTAAACCTACTAGAGTTCCCATCGGTCGCTTTTGTTTTACGAGGTATCGAAATATTTGATAAAATAGGTGCTGAATGTGGGATAGGTGCCGCTTCGGTAGGTCGAGGTGAAGTGGTGAGTTGCCACTCCCCCCTCGCGGACCCCCCATAGTTGGTGTCTACCCTTACACCGCCATCACAGCGGGCACAGAACGGACTGAAAGAAAAGTCTTATCATCGAGTCGATATGTATATACTGTAACGTCTACATGGAACGGTCTACGACACGGAAGTAGAACACAGCTGTTTTCAACCTGAAACACACAAAACACGAGAATTACTTGATATATATGTAAATAAGGAAGCATTACATTTTAAAGTTGACTTAGTGTTTCTTTTATAAAAATTTTCCTTATTAAATCATCCTGATAAACAAAAACCTGTGGCTATTCATGCGAGAGAGCATTCTTAAAATTTTCCTCAATGTTGGCAAAATTGGCAAAACACGCATCAGACTTAAAATTAAAACAGCTTGAGCAAACTCATCAATTAATACTTAAATCTAAAACACTTTACATTGAAGGATTGAATGTTAATTATTTACATTGGTAAATCACCTAGCCAACCCCATTAAACACTGTTATTCTAACATCATTATATATGTACTATAACAATTATACTATTCAAATTGTACATTCCTGCTATAATAATACATTGTTATATTTACAAATATTTCCTTTACGTCAGAAATACTCGCAGACCAAAATTAAATTTCATGAATCCAACTAAGTATATAAATCAATGGACATAGCCAGTTAAAATACTAGTTAGTCAAAAATGCATCTTTCAATTCTTGGCTAGCCAATCAATCACTTTGTATTTGTAAATAATCTAAATTCATGACACGAGAAGGTGACGGGTGGCAGCTGTCTAGAATTAGATTTATGATGTAGCTTGTTTTGTGAATCCATATAAAATCAAAGTATGTACCGTACACTAATATTCAATTATACTTGTTGATACTTGTTGAATGTATATTTTAATAAAGGTAATAAAGGTAAATAGGTACAACCTTTTGTTATAAGTACAAATTATACACATTTTCGAGTGTATTACTGAAAAGTGGCTGCAACCTTAATCTTTTTTACAGGTTGTCCGGAAATAAATTCAGCTTTTACAGGACACATCAGAGCTATTTTAAGTAGGTGGGCTAAGTAGATATTTTGTGATAGCTAACAATTAATTGAACTGCACTTATTGCACTTAATTTAAGCACAAAAAATTATAATAAGACTTATATTTAACTGTATCCAAAAGTAGAATAAATTCAGACAATTTCTTATTGTACATTAAAAAGTTGTTATTTAAAAGTTTTGTATAAATATATTTACTTTTAAAGTCAAAAGTTGATTTTAAAAGGTTAAACTCTAAAATTTTGTTGATGGTTTGAATATATTCCTGCATAAAAGGATGTACTAGTTAAGATATAGGAGACCGCATTTAGATTGTGGTCGCAACAATATATCCGATTTCGACAGCTCGTTTGTTTCCCAGGAACGGATAATGGCAAAGTTAGTTGTTCTAAGATATGGCGTTCTTTTGTACAAACCTTGATGTAAGTGGATGAACAATATGTAACAAATAGATACCTGTATGGAAAATAAATCAAGGCAAACAAACACCGTACAAATGTAAACCTAAGTGACAAAAATCTTGTTGGTAGAGCTATAAATCTTAACGTATATAGCTAGCATTCTAATATGCTTATTAGTTTTCCGGGTGACAAATAAGTATCAAACCTTCATATACCGTTTTTTTTTTTCATGCAGTATATTAATCAACCAAAGTCAGTCTCATTTTAATTTAAGTGCTCATTTCTGTGCACATCCATTTTCAGTTACAGTTTGTTATTTGTATCGTTGAAACAATAAAAAGGCCAACAATAAAATTGATATGTGGATAATTTCTTTAGAAACATTTAAAGCATATTTTCAGCTCAGAGTCGGGCAATGAATAGAATATCAAGAAAGACATGTAACACTAAAAAGTTGATCGATTGGCATTACAAGTTTTAGACTGTAATGATTTTTTTCAGATATGTCTCTAATTATGGTTATGAGACAGAAACCATACCACCAACTTAATTAAGCAACTTTTGCGATCGGGTTCAAACAAGCTTTTTAAAAACCAACAAGGCATTTTAATCCTGTCCTTTTATTGTCCTTTTAAGCTATAATCTAACATTCAACTGGATAACAATTTTAATTACTAGCCTAACATTGTTAAATTCCCACTAGCTACTATTTTCAGTATAATTCTGAAATGGGGTTTGATGTACTTAAGCTAACGTACACATTTTGATTTGCTTTCAAAATTCAGAAACGTCTATTTTTTTAAGGTATATAGTATAGTATAGGTTGCCGTAAAAGAGTGTTTATGAGTGTTTATAAGGAAATCATGTATCTTTATCTCATTACTTCCTCAACAATGATTTTTTTTGACAGACTATAGGATTAAATGTTTGATGAAAGTCAGAATAACAATGTTGTACAGTAAACCTGTTGTGCAAACAGTTATCAAACCATGAAACGGTCTTGTATTAATGCTGACGTGCCGTGGTGGCGTGACTTCAGATTTAGCCACTTCGCCGCTTACAGTTAACCAACTTTACGTTCTTCGCTTACACGCTTGACTTGTAATATTCCGTTTCAACAAACCTTATGCTACTTAATTACAATCGTAAACTGTGACAATTCCCTGCTTGATATATTTTGCATACAGACAAATAAAAGGAAAATACATAGTTAAACGTCATCAGCCTTAGTAACCGAATGACAAAATGTGAGTAGATGAAGTTGTAAACTTTAAGATTATTATCTGCTGAGAGAGTCCACTATTTGAGTTGTGAGAATTCTTTTTGGAATGTTCTCAAACACTATTGTATACTATTGTACTATTGTATTTATGATAGCTATTTGACTTGTATATTTGGCACTGCACCTCTTGCAGTGCGATACATGACGATATATATTAAAATTATGAGGCATATCGAAATGTTCAATATCCCTTCTATAACCAAGTATAATATCTGCAGTTCAATGAGACGAATTAAAACACCGCAATCAAAAGAATTTTGATTAAAAGGTATAAGGGGTGTAAGTAAGGTGGTTTTGTTTTTCATACCCTTTATCACGATGTTTTCTAAATTAATACTTAACCTACAGGTGCATGAAAATCTGATATTGATTATTTGAAGGCAGTAAATTAATTTAAAAAATATGATAACAAGTATAATTTATTATTAGTTTTATTTTAACAAAATAAAATATTCACAATATCATAATAATAGGAACGTAAAGATTTACTAACACTTTTAAAACGCCAACTCAGAAAAACGGATTGAGCATTTATGATTTAAAAATTTGATTCAAAGTGAGGTCAGTATTATTGCCATACATATTAGAATATGTAGAAAACCATAATCTTTTGAAACCCTAACCTAATTAGACGACTAAGTATTTAATACCAAATGTTTCAACCACAACTGTTTAGGCCTAAAACTTTTGTCTGGTGAGTTAGTGTAAATTAGATAAGTAAGGACCACCTCATCGACTGATATTCATTTCAAAGAAGATATTGATTTTAAAGTGACCGGTAAAAATTATCTTCTCATCACTTGTTTTTATTCCCTTCTTTATAGTAAAAGTGTTCGTTCTCGGTAAAGTTTGTAGTCAAAGTTGTCACTACACCTGACGGCTTGACACCGGCGACGAACATCTGCGGTGCTCAACTTTACAGCTACAACTTTGCTAGGTTTACCTTTCAGCTTTAACTAACAAAGTAAAATAAATTGTGTCACTTTGAATTTCTGCTGAATTCACTTTCTTATTACACCTATAATTTTTCAGATATATATCTTAAATGTCTAGGCTGTATACATTTGATTAATTATTGGTATAAGATATATATTTCGTTAATGATTTACCTATATTGAAATCTTCAAAAGTAGTTTTTTACTATCGTACTCTATGATTACTGAAATGGGGTCAGATTTGGTTTAAATAGGTTGGTTTAGAAATACAGTAATGTCGTGATCACAATCAATAACCAGATATCTGAGTCCTGATAAAATAAGTTTGTGATCAAAAACATTGACTACAATAAATAAGCAAAAACCGTCGCTTTTGATCTAAACACATATAAATTGGAAATACTATCTTTCCCTCATTGTTGTAACATAATGCAACATTTCAATTAAAAGGTTCCAAATGTAATTTGAGACAAGAGTTTAAAGGAAACATATACAGATTTGTTTAAACAGTTTAGATAGCAGTTTTAGTCATTGCCACACACTTTGAATTCAGTTGTTAGGTTCGCAAATGATATCTTAGACTAGATAATTTGTTAACTAGACTTTAATAACAATGGCAATAGTTTATATAGAATGCCAATATATAAACATTATCAGTAGACCATTATCAGTAGGTTCTTGCTTAAAAACACAAATACTTATTTCTACTAAGGGAAAACTCGATCACTAGTGATGCAAAACGTAGTTCAACGTTCCAACTTATTATATTTCGTGTCATTAACTTCTGACTTACGTCTTTACTTTTATAGACCTATTGAATAATACGCTCTGTTGTAATCTTATACCCTATAACGTCTCAAAGCTAGTATCCTGAAAAGTAAGTAATGACAATTAAACTTAAAGTTTCAAAAATATATAGCTCAAGAAATGTTTTTGCACTCAACGTGTTCCTCTGTTTACTTTTCTTTTCACACTCTTTGGGTTAAAGGAGGGCTGTACGTGACCAGCAAAATAAGCTGAGTTTTTATAAATTTGCAGTAACTATATTTTCATTTCGGACCGGTGCGATTTAGAGTAAAGAATACTTATGTTTTCTTATATAAGGGAAGAAGTTCTTATTATATCTTCTATTTAATTCCACGGCCTTCTTCAATTATTTAATTCCATAAATTGCTAGATGCGATAGTGCAATAACCCTGCGTTTATATTTCCAAACAATATATCTTCAGATAATAAAGTTAAATATTGAATATAAAAACTGAGTTTAAACGTCATGATGTGATATTAATTGGCATGTTTTAAATTGGTAAAAACATTACACACAAAAATATAACGGATTAAGGTTGTTTTGTCTTTTCGCCTTCTATACTCTACATATACCTAAATGTTTTCCTCCGCAACAGAGGTTTGAGAAATTCCAGCGCAAACCTTTGATGTACAGATTTTATCTACGTTTGTATTTTTAATAAATTTCATGTAACAATATTGCACACAAACAGTGAT